ATACACGCTATATATACATATATATACTATATACTATATATAATATCTATATATATATAGATATATATAGATATATATCATAGATTACATATATCATATTATAATCTATAGATATATATATATATATAATATCTATATATATGTATATATATATGCATATAGTATATATATACATAGTGAACACATAACATACACACTATATGTATAATATATTTATATAAAATATGTGTGTGTATATACATATATATACATATATATGTATATATATGTATCTATGCCTTTATGTATGTATCTATGTATATATATATATATATATATATATATATATATATATATATATTTATATATGTACATATATACCTATATATAGATATATATATATGTCTATATATATGAATATATATATATATATATATATATATATATGTATGTATTTATATTTATATATGTGTTTGTGTGTGAGGCCGGCTCATATAGACTTAATAATTAACGCCTGGCCTGGGTCCTTTACCAGTCCTTGCACCTTCTCCGTGGTTCACCTTTTACTTATAGCTCATTTGTTCACTTGCGGGAGAGAATGGAAACACTAGAGCATTTAACCAGTTTATTAAAATAACACATACCCTATATTAACTTATTCTAAATAATGTGACCAACACAGCACTCACAACATATAAATGATGCTATAGTAAGCAGCGGCGTACAGATAGCTGCAGCCAGGTAGACAGCATCCGGCGAGCAGAAGCGGCCAGCAGGCACGGCGGCGTATCTCTGCGTCCCAACTTGTTCCCTGCGTACAATCTCATTAGAAACTGGCTTTATACTGTCTCTTCACATCACCGTGCTGCACTGCACTGAAACAGTATATATATACATATATATATATATATGTATATATATATAATGTGTATATACATATACATATATATATATATATACATATATATATATATATATATATATATATACATACATATAAATGTGTTTGTGTGTGTCTATGTCTATATATGTATATGTATATATATGTGCATATATATACATGATATATATATACACAAATATATGTACAGTATATATATATATATATTTGTGTGTGTATTCATGTATAAAAATACATACATACATACATATTTATACATAAACATTTATCAATACACGCAGACAGGTTTGATCGATCTGCCCAAGCCACGACCTTCTCGGTCGTCCCACAGGCCTCCTCCACCCAGGGTTGTCACGGACAGAGACAACCTGATGGGCAGGATCATCCTGCGGGAATCGAGCCAAGTGGCCATATAGCCTGAGTTGGCGATCACGGATTGTGCAAGTAACAGGTCCTGTACCGGTCTCATGTTGTAGCCGTTGGTTGGACACATGGTCCCGCCAACTGTACCCCATGATCCGGCGCAAGGATCTGTTACAAAAGGCATCGAGACGAGATTTCAAAGCACAAGATAGCGTCCAAGTTTCACTACCATATAGTAAAACTGGCAGTATCAGGGCCTTGAAAACTCGTAGCTTGGTCCTTCTGCACAGGTACCGGCATCTCCAAATACTCTTGTTGAGAGATTTCATGACCCCTGCTGCCAGGCCAATCCATCTACTGACTTCCTGGTCTGACAGCCCAGCGTCATGAACTGCACTACCCAGGTATATAAAGCTCCTTGTGACTTCGATGTTTTCACCGCAAGCACTTACCGACTGCACAGGGTCTCCTAGTAGGCCTCTAAAATCCTGGATCTTGGTCTTGGTCCAGGAAACCTCTAGCCCCAGGGGCTTCGCTTCATTGCTAAATGCATCAAGAGCCGCCACTAGGGTTTCCAGAGATTCAGAAAGAATGGCAACATCATCAGCAAAGTCAAGGTCTGTAACCTTGATATTGCCCAGAGTTGCTCCACAGTGACTTTGGACAGTAGCTCTACCCAGTATCCAATCCATGCAAGTGTTGAAAAGTGTTGGTGCAAGAACACAGCCTTGCCTCACGCCTGAACTAACAGGAAAGAAGCTTGACAAGCCCCCATCACACTTTACAGCACTTTCAATGCCTGTATACAGGCTTGCTATTAGTCCAACAATCCTTGTTGGAATTCCTCTCAGTCTCAGGATCTCCCAGAGTGATTCGCGATGCACCGAATCAAACACCATCTTGAGGTCGATGTAGGCTGCGAGCAGCCCACATCCGAACTCACAATGGCGCTCTACAATGACTTGAAGTGCCAGGATGCGGTCTATTGTGGATTTACCAGGAGTGAATCCAGATTGCTCCAGTCTTTGGTGCCTCAGCAGGTGGTCTCTAATACGTCTTAGTAAGATGTGCGCGAGTACCTTGCCTGGTACACTGAGCAGTGTAATGCCTCGGTGATTGCTGCAGTCCCACCGATCCCCTTTCCCCTTCCAGAGAGGGATGACCACACCTCTCAGCAGGTCAGGGGGGATGGTACCGGTCTGCCAGATGGCAGACAGGACTGCATGCAATCCCCTTGCCATAGGTTCTCCACCAGCCTTTAACAATTCAGCTGGGATGCCACAAACACCTGCTGCTTTACCACTCTTCAGTTTGGAGATCGCCCCCCTGACTTCAGTCAGGGAGGGTGGATCCTTGCTGATGGGTGGGTTTGGCAGAGGAGTCTCAACATTACCAGCATCCAAGTTAATTGTTGGTGGATCAACCTGATACAACTGCTCAAAATACTCAGCCCAATGCACACGCACCCCATCAGGATCTGAGATTACCTGGCCACTTGCTGAGCGGACTGCTGTCGTCTGTGAGGAGGGCTTAGAGTTCAGCTTTCTCAGGGCTTGGTAGGCAGGACGAAGGTTATTTACTAGGAAATGGCTTTCGACCTCCTCTGCACGAGCCGCACGACAAGCTTCTGTGGCTTCCAGTGTCTCCTGCGAGATGGAATTCTGTCTTGCTCTTGGGCGTTCACCAATGGATTCCTGCGCTGCATCAAGTGTTTCACGCTTGAAGGAATCCCACATAACTACAGGGTCTGTCAGGTCCTCGAGTGCTGTGAGACGACCAGAGATAGCCTCAGCAAACCCCCGGGCACACTCGTCCTCCCTCAGTCTGTCCAGATGAAACACCCTGGGGTGTTCATTTGGTCGATGGGGGGTTCTGAAGTGGACCCGGAGAGTAGCCACAACTAATCTATGATCAGTTCCACAGAACTCGGCGCTTCGATACACCCTGCAGTTCTGGAGGATCCTCCACCGAGTGCTGAATGGATGTGGTCTATCGATGCGGGTCAGAACGCTGATACCAGGAGCCAGAGATCCTCAATTTCTGGGACCTAGCAAAGTCACGGAAAAGGAGGCTATTCTCGCTGCCAGCATCAGCTCCTGAGCCATGGGGACTGACAGACATCTCGTAGCCAGCTCGATCACAGCCGGATACCGCAATGAAGTCGCCCAGAACAATACTAATATCTCGCCGAGGACAACTGTCTGCCACAGATGCAATCTCAAGTTTATATACATCCGTAGGAGCGTACACAACAATAAGAGACATGAAGCCAAATGAAAGCTTCAGTGTCAATACCATTATACGCTCATCGACTGGAGTGACATCTACTACCTCTGTGTGTGTGTGTTTGTGAGCGTATATATATATACAGATAGTCCCCTACTTAAGAACATTCTACTTATGCACATATGAACAAAATTTTTAAAATACTTAAATCCAAAAAATTGTTTGAAAGATGATAGCAAACTTCAAATTTCCCGGGCGCGAATACAGTTCACGAGTCTGCCACGCCGCGACGCCGCCGCGCTCACTCAGCTGTGTGCATCACTCGCCTGCCCTCCCGCCATAAACACGAAAGCCTCTCTTCACTGAGTCCTTGTGTACCGACAATTTTGGTGCCATAATTCGCTTTACCTGTGCATCAATCCATCAAAAATGTCGGGTGCGAAGAGAAAGATAAACGGTGAAGCCAGTGGAATTGCCAAGAAACGTCAGGCTATAACTTTATGGATCTTATCAATCGGTTTGTCAGCCAGTCACAACTATATATTTTCTTTTTGAATAAATTATGTTTCTACATTTAAAGTTGTATAAATCACCATCAAATAATATGAACCCTTTCACGACGAGTGACGCCGCTAGGCGTGAAAAGAAACCGCACGAAAAGTGCCGTGCGGCTGTACGCCGCGGCGGCGCCAAGCGCGGCGAGCCAGTGATTCGGCCTGATGTACGGAACTCACGCCCTCAAAGTCGGCGCACTGCCATTGTTTGCCAGAGCATAGAGTTTTGTAGAGTTTTTTATTTGCCAGTTACCACTACAATATATTTTCTTTTTGAATAAATTATGTTTCTACATTAAAGTTGTATGAATCACCATCAAATAATATTAAAAGCATTATATATTACAGGTACTGTATAAGGTACGTCGTACTTATTGGGATTTATGTACAGGCATTCTTAATGTAAACAAAATTTTAAAACAATGGGGAAAAAAGGCAATGGAGACCCGACTTTCGACTTCACAACAGCCTCTCGGTCCCCATTATATCCATAAGTTGGGGACTTACTGTATATATGTGTTTGTGTGTGTTTGCGCGTGTATATCTGTGTGTGTGTGGATATTTAGTTATATATGTATATATATATACTTATATATATATATATATACTTGGTTTTTTTTTTTGTTATTAAGCCGACCGGGTCTCGCTTCTACCATCCTGAGACTCTGCTCCCTTATGCCGGCCACACTTGGCCTGACCGCCTGACCCCTTGACCTGTCCTGACCTGCCCTTCGATTGCCCAGTTCGCTCTTTCTCTTACTTCTTCCTCTCTCATTCCTCTTCAGATCTGAATTATTATCAACTTTGTTGGTTTTATAAACGTTATAATTTTCAATAAAATAAATGTCATAATAATGTCATTATCATCATGAATATCATTGTATCAGATTCATGAAACTTATTTTCTTCATCATCATTTCCATTATCATTAATGTAATAATTTTAATAATTACTATCAGTATCATGATTATCATTACTTCTATAATTATTGTTTTTTTTTTTTTTGTAGTCACCATCAATAGTATAAACACGTGGTAAATGGAGAGAAAAAGATATATACCCTACATAGTTATAAGCTATTTTACACACGATCTTTACGAAGCTGGATGAAATCACTCTGACTCTTCGCTGTCGTCTTCTTGTGGCGACTCGTCCCTCTCGTCTTGTGGCGACTCGTCCCTGTCAGCTGCCCCCTTAGACTTGGCCCTCCTGACTGCCTTTCGCCCTGCCCCTTCCCTCCTGCCTGCTGCTTCCGGACGCTCAGCCCTGCCTGCGGCTTGCACAGGCTCGTCGCTCTCTGGTGCTCTCCTAGCCTTGCCTCTGCTTGCCGAGGCAAGGCTAGGAGCTGCTTGCCGAGGCTTGTCTCTCCCGCCTGCCGCTCCCCTAGCCCCCTCCGTGGCAGCTGCTGGCGGAGTCTTCTCGCTGCCAGCTGCTCCCCGGGGCCCCCTCCTCCTGCCTGAGACCGAGGGCTGGCCGGCGGCCGTCGGCTCAGGCTCACGTGGCGGCTGCAGGTCCGGCAGGAGAAGAAGCGCGTTAGCAACACCTTGGGAGGATTTCCCACACTCTATCGCGGACGAAATTCTCTTCACTCGAGTGCTTACGAACACATGCACACAGACAGACAAACGCACGCACGCACACACACACATGTATGTATGCATATACACATGCACATGTGTATATACCTATAAATACATACATACATATACATACTCATATGTATAGGTGTTCATATATTTATATATACACATATATATGTATATACACACATATATACATATATATGCATATATTATACACACGCATATATGTGTATAAATATTTATATGTAGATGTATATATGTATACTATGTATACATAACCATGCATGCATACACATACATACATATATATATATATATATATATATATATACATATATATATACATATATATACATATATATATATATAAATATATATATATATATATATATATATATATATATATATATATACATATATATATATATATATATATATATATATATATATATATATATATATATATGTATATATATATGCATATATATACATAGTTATACACATAACATACACACATATATGTATATATATTTATATAAATATTTGTGTGTATATACATATATATACATGCATACATCTCTTTCTCTCTTTCTCTATCACTCTCTCTCTATATATATATGTGTGCGTATATATGTATGTATATGTATGACTATATATATATATATATATATATATATGATTGTGAGTGAATGACTGTGTGTTTGGGTGTTAAAATATGCAGATATATAAATGTATACTTACATTTGCATATATATATACTTATATTAATATAAATATATATAATTACATAAATACAAACAATTATGTATATATATACATATATGTATACATATACATCTACCTATCTATATAATATATATATACATACACACACACATATACACACGCACGCACACGTGTTTGTGTTTTTTTGTGGCTGTATATATAAATAGGTAGACATAGATATATAAACTCTTATGATAAGAGAAACGACTTGCCTCCATTTCTCTCAGACGAAGACCTTCCACCGCAGAAAGAAGGCCCTTCATCTTTTCCTCTTGTATTTCTAACTGCCTCTGAAATTAAGAAGCGAGATAATTACATGTATTTTCTTCTCTTACTTTTCATCACCGTTTGATAAGATCTTGATAAGATCTTTGATAAGATCTTTGATCTTTGATAAGATCGTTTGATAAGATCTTTGATAAGATTCACCCGACGGAGAGGGAGGTGTCTGGACGCGTGACACACTTACCTTCATTCGCTTTAACTCGCTCTCTTCCTCTTCGGGTTGCGAGTCCATTTCTCTTGCCTCTTCTTGTTCACTGAGCTTTTTCTGGAAACATGAATTCTTAGATTATTTTCCATCTTTGGCATTATCAGACATTAGTCTCTATTTGGTTGCTACCACCATCAACACCAACGCGTGTGTGCGAAGGACCAGCTCGCCCCTACCTTGAGGACCTCGATCGTCTTGTCTCGTCTACTGAGCTTCTTCTCAAGCTCGCCTCTCGCATTGGCTGCCTCTTTCTCCTTCGTCTTCTCCTTTGCTTTGAGACTTTTTAGCCTTTCATTGTTCTCCGCCTGGACACGAACGACTTTATGAGTACTGCGTCACAGGACATGTATTTGTTGGCGATATGCATTATCTCCTCCTATCAGCGTGCGCCCACATCAGCGGTTCCTTGGTTTCCAAAGGGAGAACTTACCTCGGCTCCTGTGAGCTCTGCCTCGCCAGCGCTCGATTCTTGCCCAATTTTTTCTTCCAGGCGAGATTCTCTCTCTATCTTTCTCTCTGTTCATCTATTTATTTATCCGTCTCTGAGTGTCCATCAACCCCCGCCCCCCTCAGGTTTTCTTCGCCTACTTCATTTTTTCTGTCTATCTGTCTAGCACTGTCTCTCTCTGTTCATCTCTAAATGAACACATTCTCTTTCTATATCCCGCTCTCTCTCCTCCCCTGCCTCTGTCTCTTTCTATCACCTCTCTGTATCTCTGCATGTAACCAAGTATAACTGCAAGTCTGTATCTGATCACACAGGCGACAACTCACCTGTAAAGTTGCAATGTATTCCTGAAGATCTGCGATCTGCTCGTTGAGACCTTCCTTCTCTGCTTCATGCTCCCTCGCCTTACTCTCACACCTTTGCTGATGCAATTGCGCTTGCTTCACCGTCTCCTGAAGCGGTCAACCTTGGTTAGGATGTAGCAGAAATGAGCACTTGATTTGCATCTACCTTGTGTTTTGTCGTTTCCTTAAACTTCCAGGAATCTCAAGTTTCATTACAGAAACAGAAGTATCATGTTCCTACAGTCAGTCGATCGCTCTCTATTTTCGCCCGATTATCTACCTCGTTGACACAGACATGCTCACGCATGAAGAAATGCATTTATTCCTACATGTCAATAAATACACGGTTAGAAATACGGATAAATTCTTCCACACTGTCTTAAGATATGATTGTATGCCGGTCTCCTCTCTCTCCACCTAACTTCTATGCAAAGTGTTAACCTCCCTCCTTCCCTCCCTTTCTCTCTCTCATCTTTTACCTATCATATCCTCATTACTCGCCCACTCTTTCTCTTTCCGTGTCTTTCTCTCTTACTATTTTCTCTCTCCTACTCCTCTTTCTCTCAATCTTCTCTTCATCGCCCTTCCATACCTTTAGAGATGCGATCTCTTCTTCCTTTCTTTCCATCTTCATCATCAGGTCTCTGTTCTCCCTCTTCAGGTCGGCTGCCTCGTCCTCTTTGGTGTTGTAGGCTATGTTCGTGTCCCGTAGTCGGGCCTCGTACTCGGTCTGCGGAGGAGACGACGCGCGTCAGGAATGCCTCTCTAGCCAGGGGAATCAGATATCCGAGGACAACAACCCTCTCTCTGTGCACGTACCTCTACCTGTTTGGTTTCTGCCTTCATCTTCCTCGCCTGCTCCTCGAGTTTGTCCTGCAAGAGAAAAGTGTCTTCTCATATGTTTGTACTTCCCTCCCCACTTCCATACTCTGTGGCTTCCCTACTATCACATTTCTCTTTTCTTTTCTCCTCTCACTTCTTCATTCTTTACTCCCCCTCCCTGTGTCTCTTACATGCACCTGAGTTACCTTGCTTTCCTTTTCCTTTTCCTGAAGTTCCTTCTTCAACTTTTCGATTTCCTTCTTCATCTCCTTCTCCTGCTCCTCGAGTTTGTTCTGCAAGAGAAAAGTCTCAGGAAAGTATCTTCTCATATGTTTCTACTTCTCTCCCCACTTCTATACTTTGTGGCTTCCCTACTATCACATTTCTCTTTTCTTTTCTCCTCTCACTTCTTCATTCTTTACTCCCCCTCCCTGTGTCTCTTACATGCACCTGAGTTACCTTGTTTTCCTTTTCCTTCTCCTGAAGCTCCTTCAACTTTCCATTTTCCTTCTGCAGGATGGCTGCCTCCGCCACCTTCAAGTCGTACCTCTTGCTCATCTCCTTCTCCTGCTCCTCGAGTTTCTCCTGCAAGAGAAAACAGTCGCAGGAATGTCTTTCCATATTTTTCTACTTAGCCCCTCCTCCCATGTTCTCTCTGGCTTCCCTATCCCCTTTCTGCGTGGTGCAGTGGTAGCGGTCTCGTCCGGCACTCTTGCTGACCCGCGTTCAGTTCCCCCGCACCGCAAGTGGATGGCAACCCCGGCCATTCCTAGCACATCGGGATCATTTAGAAGCAAAATGAAACAGTCTGTCACACCAGGAATAGCCATTTTAAGAAATCGAATAAAACACTATTATTTCCCTTTTTTCCACTCATTTCCCTCTCTTCTTCTTTTTTCTCCTCTCTCCGTCTCTCTATCTCTTGTACGTACCTGTAGAAACCTTTTTTCCTTTTCCTTTTCCTTCTTGATCTTTCCGATTTCCTTCTGCAGGTTGGCTGCCTCCACCTCCTTCGAGTCGTACTTCTTCTTCGTCTCCTTCTGCTGCTCCTCGAGTTTGTCCTGCAAGGGAAAACAGTCTCAGGAGAGCGTCGAGGGAACTGCTTTGGCGCCGCAGCGGAAGCGGACCCAGACGACCATCGGCTCAATAAGACTCGGTGAATAAAGCGGGAATTGAGTCAAGAAGCAGATCAGAGCGATCACCTTTCAGGTTAGTCTTACTCCACACAGGATTTCAGTTTTTCCATTTATCTATTTCTTTGTATTTCTGTATTTCTTCTAGTGTTCCGCATGTGCACGTAGAAATGGATCTTTTGGGAAAATAAGATCTAACCTGCATCTTCCTCATCCTTTCCTTCTCGGCCGCAGCACATTCCTCCGCCTGAAAAGTTACTCGGTTTAGTTGACTCGATTTAGTGTATTCAACGTAAAAAAAAAAAAAAAAAAAATGTTCTCAGACTAATAGACAAAAGTAAGTGTAGCCAACGACCAAGGCGCCCAGCCTGATAACAGCACATTGGTCCATATCAGTCTGATTGCCTTCTGCCTTTACCATGGAGAAGAGTTCATCAGCGGAAGGTTCCTCCAACAGGTCCTGCGGAGTCTCCCTGCCCTTATTCTTCTTACTGGTGGACGCCCCGAGGCCAGTCAGGATGCCCACTGCGAGAAGCTGCCTCCTTGAAGCTGCATCGTGAAGAGGCGTGTTGCCCTTATCATCGACGGGGTCCACGTCGGCCCCGCCCGCCGCAAGAGCCTCCAGCGCCCCCCACTGCCCCCGCCTGGCTGCCAAGTGCATCGCCGTTCGGCCTGAAAGTCGTCCGAGTTGAGGAGGCGATCAGTGCCTTCGCTGACAAAGCTCCGCCCTCCGAAAAAGGCATTTCGTCTGGTCATGATATCAATGATAATGATGATAATATAAAAAAATAATAGTAAAAGCAGGAATTACAAAAGGATGAACAACGAGAGGAAGAGCAACAATGATGATAACAATAATAAAGAAAAGAAATAAAACTAATGATGATAATAAGATTAATAATGATACAATATTATTAGTTTTAGTTTACTAGTGGTCAAAATAAATATGAGGATCATAATATGAGTAAGAATAATGATAACAATAATAATAATGATAACAGACAACATTGACAATTATAAGAATAAAAATGCTAAAAATAGCAATAAAAATGATTATGATAACATTACTACTACTAATAAAAGGATGGTGATAAGAATAGTAATAATAATAGTGATAATTATTGCAACAATAACAATAAAGAAATACCAATGACAATAATAAGGATAATTATAAAAATTGAAACACTATAATAACAAGAACTGAAGCAAAGGTGAAAATGATATTAATAATAAATGATGTTAATAAATAATAAATAATAAAGAAATAAATGATAAATAATGTTAATAAAAGTACTGTTAACAATAAATGATGTTAATAGTAAATAAACTTAAATAATGTTAATAATTATTCATAACGAAAAAACAGTAAACCAAAAATATTTAAAACGGCATGACTAAATTGTAGTAATAATTATAACAAAATAATTGTGGAAATCTATGATGGCTGGAATAATTACTCTACTGACATTAATATCATGAGACACTTCGATGATAATGATTATGTTAATAGTAAAATTATTTCCGAAAATAATTATAACAAAAACTACAATAATGATAAGATATGAATAATAAAATAAAAGCAAGTAATAATAATGAATCATTTAATCATTTAATATCAAATGATGAAATTTAATAATTCAATAATAAGAAATTAACAATAATAAGAATAAGAGTTGATCTTTCGGAGGAATGCACACCTCATGCACACAAAGTGAAGAAAGAGGAAAAGAGGAGGAGAGAGACAAAGGGACGAAGAAGAAAGCAAACGCAGGGACAGGAAGGGCCCCTCCAAGTGTGGCGCATAAAAATTGCCGATGAGCATTTCTTGCCTTGGAAATGACTGCCTTTTCAGATGGAACTTTGGCGAGAAGTAGAAAAACTGGCCTAGAGTTGCCCTTTCAGCACACACACACAATTCATTCGGCAATTATGTCTTAAATATCTCGGATACAAATATGGACTCTGGGAAATTGACTATTGGCAACTTCACGACAAAACCCCACGCTCTGAGTGACAGAAAATGACGTTCATAAGCACAAAACACAGAAGCTCAGGCCACCAATTAGCATAAACACCATCGGGTGTGAAGAGAACAGTCACAAGGTGCCATAAACATGCAAAATAATGGCATGCAAACCACTTTTTTTCCTCACAAATAACGCAGGAGTTTGGAGGAAGGTGCCAATTACTGTATTTTCCTGATTAATATTTCTTATAAAAATGTTTCGTTCCACAAATCGCCAAATGAAATGAAAATAAAGAAATTTTCATTTTAAATGAATAGGTTCTGTTTCTCAAAGGATAATTAGGATTATAGCATTGCGATTATAATGATAATTACAATAATGATAATAACAATAATGATGATAATAATGACAATATTAAAAGAATAATAAAGATAATCAAAATAATAATAATAAAAATAATGCTAATATTATTTTTAAAAAAAATCTAAACAATATGATTATTAATAATAATATTAATAATAACAATAATGATAATGATAAAGAAAGGAACAGATAAAGGAAGAAGGAGAGATGAAAAGAAAAGAAGAGGAAAGAGTAAAAAGAAATGAAGAGAAAAGACAAAGGAAGAGCGAAGAATAATAAGAAAATAAGGGATAATAACAATATTAGTGAGATGGAGGAAAAGGAGATAGAGGAAAGAGCGAAGAAGACGAAGGAAAAGGAAAACAGGAAGAGCAAAGAGTAGGAGAAGAGAAAAAGGAGGGAAAAGAAATGGCAAAAACAGGAGAAAGAAAGAGAAATGAGAGAGAGAAGAAAGGAAGAGGAGAGAGAAATGGATGTAGAGAACAGAGAGAGAAGGTGAAAAAGAAGAAAGGGGAAAAATAGGAAGTCAGGAAAGGAGAGAGAGAAAAAGAGAGGAAGATGAAAACGGAATAATGACAATAATAATATCAGCAATAATGACAATAATTATAGCCCCAAGAAAATAATGCTAATGATGATCAAAAAATAATAATTACAGCGATAAGTCATAGTAATTAATAATAATAATGATTATGAGAATAATAATGACAGAAGAGCAAAGAGTAGGAGAAAAGAAAAAGAAGGGAAAGGAAATGGCAAAAACGGGAGAAAGAAACAGAAATGAGAGAGAGAAGAAAGGAAGAGGAGAGAGTAAGGGAGGCAGAGAACAGAGAGAGGGAGAAAGAGAAGGAAGGGGAAAAATAGAAAGGAAGTCAGGAAAGGAGAGAGAAAAAGAGAGGAAGATGGAAACGGGATAATGACTATAATAATAACAACAACAATTATAATAATTATAACAGCAAGAAAAATATTGCTAGTGATGAAAAAAAAATAATGACAGTCATAGCAATAAAACAATAATAATGATAATTACGGGAATAATAATGACAGACCACGAGTGATGCCAGAGCCGAGCCTCCAACTGCAGCGTTTCACTCGCACCAAAAGTCTCTCTTATTCTTTTTCGTTTCATTCTTACTCGTTATGAAAATAGAAACTTGAACAGCTACTATGGTTGGCTGTCGTTGTGTGAAAAAAATGCATTCATCAAATAAAACTTTTACGAAGGTTGAAAGAAATCATTAAAAGGCTTCATACTGCTTTGGTTCAATGGACCTCTTAAGGTTAATTCATATATCAAACATTTATAACTACATAATAATCCACACGAATTTATAAATATAGAAACGTAATATATATATATATATATATATATATATATATATATATATATATATGCAAATAAAATCTTTATTAAAACTATGCATAACCGAATAAAAGGACTG